GTTATCTTGTAGAATAATTAGCTAAATGAGGTTAAAGTTAATTCACTTCATGTGTAGCTTGTCGCATAATTGATTACTCTTCAGATTTAATCTGCACTAAAATAAAACATGAAAACTTTTAGTTGATCTGCTTTAAGTGATGCTGTCCTTTGTTTAGGAACAAGCTTTGTAGATGTGTCTTTCCTCCACATGCAGTCAGCTTCATCCATGTTGCCATGGCTACTAATAATAAATATAATAAATAATGTTGTTTTATGAACCTGCAGGAAGTTGATGGTTTGGTTCAGCCCAGGAGAACGGTTTTGGATCACTTTATCTGTAAACTCTTCAGATTAATCTCAGACGCCTTCCATCTGTGCTCGTGTATCAAAGCAAAAACAAAGTTCTGACCTCCCGTTTGCTTCAGCAACTGTTGTTTTCGGTGTGAAAACTCAGCCAACACATTTATTTAACGTCTGAATTAGAACAAAAATAGAGTAACACCTGCATAAAGCTTGGTTTGTGCTTGACACATTTACTTTCCGCTTGGTGGTGCGGCTCGCGGATGGAACGCGCTTCACAACTTGCAGCGCTTGTGGTTCATGCGGCTCGTCTCTGCGGTGAGCCAATATTCTCCCAAACTGTAGGGGGCAGCATGGAGCTCTACGGCATGCATCCAACACTACACCATAGTAGAAGTAAAAATTACTGTTTACAACATGGCATTCCAGCATTTTTAACAGCGTCCTCGTCTTTTCCGACAGTGCGAGCTATTTCTCTCCAAGAATTATTAACAACATGTTGATCACGGTGATCTTTGAGAGCTGAATCATACAAATGTCTGTATTTATGAACCTCTGCCATACTAGTTCTTGCCAGTCCGCCATGTTTTTCCGCGTCCGACCGTCCGCGTGCTTAGATAATTTCCTAGATGGGCGGTGCGGAAAGTTTGGGCCGTGCGGAGGCGCGGTGGAGGGGCGTGGTTGTTAAAATGACGCAAGTTTGCCGTGCGGACCTCGCGGACGCGTCAGGCATAAACCAAGCTTAAGAAACATTTGGTTAAACCTACATTAATGTCGATGGGTTAAACAGGCAAAGACTGATGATGTCACTGAGACTCCTGGCCTTTCATTGGTTCAAATGAAACAAAAGTTTAGTACAAAGCTGCTGCCCGGGATGAAGCCATCTGGCCTTTGACTCCCAACAGGATTGGGTCAGTTTGTTGAGGAGCTGAAAACATAAATGTTGGATTCATGTTTAATTCAGAATGGCGGACTGGCGGCTACAGGAGTGCTCTGATTTATTCACAGCTTCATCAGAGCAGCAGCCTTTTCTCTGATGAAGCAGGTTTTATGAGTCAGAGGTTACGAAACAGGACAGAGCTCCTGTTCACTGAGCTGGAAACTGAATGAAGTCACTTCAAACAGAAACAAAACAAGCGGAGAGATGGATCACTTACAGATTACTTTATTCCCCCCCACCCCACCCCCACCCACACACACAATCACACACACACACACTCACACAATCACACACACACACACACACACACACACACACACAATCACACACATACACACAAATACACACTGGTTTCTTGTTACAGTTTGACTTTAGTGTCCACTGAGAACAAGAATAAAGGTTCTTCGGTTCTTTCTACTCCTGATCTTCTGGATTCCAGTGACTTGTTTCTTCTCTGATTGAAGTCGAGGCCTCCAGATGAAAGTGCGTAAATAGATCCTCACATTGTGAGCAGAGAAACCCAAACACACTCTGACGTTCCTGAACACACACAGAGGCAGCAGTCCTGCTCTCTGATTGGCTCTTTTCCTGTTGCTAAGGGAGACTCAGTCCCTCCTCCTATTGGTCAGGCTCCGGACCAGGATCAGATGCTTTCCTGTCAGTTAGCATCCCTGCGTTGTCATAGTAACAGACAGGAAGCAGATCGGGAGGAGGGGAGTGTTGTTTGTGCTGCTGCAAATGAAGAAGACTCTTGTGTCGCTTGTTTTTTTTGGGTTTTTTTTGGAGGATGATCCGTCTGACAACACAGAACAACCACGCAGGACAAAATAGCTCAATGCTGACACACACACACACACACACACACACACACACACACACACTGCTCATATGCTCACTCTCCCCCTTTTCTGTTTCTCTCTCTTACACACACAATACACACACACACACACACACACACACATACACACACATACGCACACACACACGCGCGCGCGTGCACACAAGAGACCACACAGAAACCTGATAATCCCAAACAAAAAGGATGATTATTAATATATGGACATGAAAGGGGATAAAAATGTTGATTTGTGTCCCTGATTTCTGTTTGTGGCACATTCACCATCCTTCTGGAGACTGATGGGCGGTAGGGGACCAACGTCCATGGCGGACCCCTTTGTTAGTCCTGGGGGCTAGGTTTAGAGGCTATGGTTAGAGGCTAGGTTTAGAGGCTATGATTAGAGGCTAGGTTTAGAGGCTATGGTTAGAGGCTAGGTTTAGAGGCTATGATTAGAGGCTAGGTCAAGTGGCATGGTATAGTGACTAGGTTTAGAGGCTAGGTTTGGGGGCTATGATTAGAGGCTAGGTTTAGAGGCTATGATTAGAGGCTAGGTCAAGTGGCATGGTATAGTGACTAGGTTTACTGGCTAGGTTTAGAGGCTAGGTTTAGGGGCTATGATTAGAGGCTAGGTTTAGATGCTAGATTTAGAGGCTAGGTTTGGGGGCTTGGTTTAGAGGCTATGTTTAGTGGCTAGGTTTAGAGGCTATGATTAGAGGCTAGGTTTACTGGCTAGGTTTGGGGGCTTGGTTTAGAGGCTATGTTTAGTGGCTAGGTTTAGAGGCTATGATTAGAGGCTAGGTTTAGAGGCTATGGTTAGAGGCTAGGTTTAGAGGCTATGATTAGAGGCTAGGTCAAGTGGCATGGTATAGTGACTAGGTTTAGAGGCTAGGTTTGGGGGCTTGGTTTAGAGGCTATGATTAGAGGCTAGGTTTAGAGGCTATGATTAGAGGCTAGGTCAAGTGGCATGGTATAGTGACTAGGTTTACTGGCTAGGTTTAGAGGCTAGGTTTAGGGGCTATGATTAGAGGCTAGGTTTAGATGCTAGATTTAGAGGCTAGGTTTGGGGGCTTGGTTTAGAGGCTATGTTTAGTGGCTAGGTTTAGAGGCTATGATTAGAGGCTAGGTTTACTGGCTAGGTTTGGGGGCTTGGTTTAGAGGCTATGTTTAGTGGCTAGGTTTAGAGGCTATGATTAGAGGCTAGGTTTACTGGCTAGGTTTGGGGGCTTGGTTTAGAGGCTATGTTTAGTGGCTAGGTTTAGAGGCTATGATTAGAGGCTAGGTTTACTGGCTAGGTTTGGGGGCTAGGTTTAGAGGCTAGGTTTGGTGACTAGGTTTACTGGCTAGGTTTGGGGGCTAGGTTTAGAGGCTATGATTAGAGGCTAGGTTTACTGGCTAGGTTTGGGGGCTTGGTTTAGAGGCTATGTTTAGTGGCTAGGTTTAGAGGCTAGGTTTGGGGGCTTGGTTTAGAGGCTATGTTTAGTGGCTAGGTTTAGAGGCTAGGTTTGGGGGCTTGGTTTAGAGGCTATGTTTAGTGGCTAGGTTTAGAGGCTAGGTTTAGTGGCTAGGTTTAGAGGCTAGGTTTGGGGGCTTGGTTTAGAGGCTATGTTTAGTGGCTAGGTTTAGTGGCTAGGTTTATGATTAGAGGCTAGGTTTACTGGCTAGGTTTGGGGGCTTGGTTTAGAGGCTATGTTTAGTGGCTAGGTTTAGTGGCTAGGTTTGGGGGCTATGATTAGAGGCTAGGTTTAGATGCTAGGTTTAGAGGCTAGGTTTGGGGGCTATGATTAGAGGCTAGGTCAAGTGGCATGGTATAGTGACTAGGTTTAGTGACTAGGTTTAGAGGCTAGGTTTAGGGGCTAGGTTTAGAGGCTAGGTTTAGTGGCTAGGTTTAGAGGCTATGATTAGACGGCTAGGTTTAGAGGCTAGGTTTAGGAGTTAGGTTTAGAGGCTAGGTTTAGGAGTTAGGTTCAGAGGCTAGGTTGATAGGCTATGATTAGAGGCTAGGTTTACTGGCTAGGTTTAGAGGCTAGGTTTAGCGGCTATGATTAGAGGCTAGGTTTAGATGCTAGGTTTAGAGGCTATGATTAGAGGCTAGGTTTGGGGGCTAGGTTTAGAGGCTAGGTTTAGGGGCTAGGTTTAGAGGCTAGGTTTAGTGACTAGGTTTAGAGGCTAGGTTTAGTGACTAGGTTTAGAGGCTAGGTTTAGGGGCTAGGTTTAGAGGCTAGGTTTAGTGACTAGGTTTAGAGGCTAGGTTTAGGGGCTTGGTTTAGAGGCTAGGTTTAGAGGCTATGATTAGACGGCTAGGGTTAGAGGCTAGGTTTAGGAGTTAGGTTTAGAGGCTAGGTTTAGGAGTTAGGTTTAGAGGCTAGGTTTTGGAGTTATGTTTAGAGGCTAGGTTGATAGGCTATGATTAGAGGCTAGGTTTACTGGCTAGGTTTAGAGGCTAGGTTTGGTGACTAGGTTTAGAGGCTAGATTTTTTAAATAATATCCAAAAAGAACGCACATACGGCACAACTAATGGTCTGAGTTGAGAGACTGACAATCACGAAACAGTTTTAAGGCGAGGCCGAGGCTCAGGCTGAGGCCTTTCCCCGGAGCTAGATTTGCGGTCACGTGGGTCTGATGCTCATTGATTATTCAGAATTTTAGGCATTTAGTGCACTTAAACAGAAGAGTGACAAAAAATAAATCCCCCACCTCCCAGAGTTGTCATGAGTGTAAACTAGATCTATTAAACCTAAAACATGTTTTGGTTGTTTCAGGGTTTTTGTGTGTATGTGTCCTACGCAGAGAGGATCAAAACAATGAGAATATTTAAGGAGAGAAGAAAGAGAACATCTGGGAATATTTCCTGATCAGTAGATTAAAACAGAAAAAACAGGAGAGACACAGGCTCCCTCGGTTACTTTAACCTGTTTCTTCTTCTCTGTCCTCCTTCCTCAGGTGAAAACATGCACCTGAGCAGTGCTCCATAACATCCCTTCAACCCCGCTCCTCCATTTATTTCCATATCGCCATGACAACAACTCCCGAGACGATGCTGCTGCAGCCGGACCAGGAGCCGAGCCCTGAGCGGCTGGACACTTGCGAGGACGCTGCTGGACGCTACAACGTGGTCCCCTCCATTGTCTGCTCCATGTGCTGCCTCTTTGGCATCATTTACTGCTTCTTTGGTGAGTCCTGAACATTTGACACCACCGCCCCCTCTTGTTTAAGTTTCTTACTGATCTAATGACCTCTGCGTTTTCTCAGGTTACCGCTGCTTCAAAGCGGTGATGTTTCTGACCGGCTTGATGTTCGGCTCTGTGGTTATCTTCATGCTCTGCTACAAGGAGCGCGTTCTGGACACCCAGCTGAGTGTGGAGGCTTCGGTGGGCATCGGGCTGGGCATCGGGACGCTCTGCGGCCTTGTCACCATGCTGGTCCGCAGCGTGGGCCTTTTCATGGTGGGGCTGCTGCTGGGCCTGCTGGTGGCTGTGGCCACCCTGGTGGGCATGGTGGAGCTTTCCGAGAACCCGTCGCGCTCCGTCTGGGTGCCCCTAGGTGTGCTGCTGGGCCTGGGCATGCTGTTTGCTGTGCTGACCTTGCAGTGGCAACGCCTCTTCACCACGCTGTCCACAGCCGTGTTCGGAGCGGCTGTCATCACGGTGGCCTTGGACTACTTCGTGGAGCTCTTTGCTCTTGTGCTCTACGTTTATGAGCGGATTAAAGTGGAGCCGGGGAAGCCGTTGTGCTGGATGACCTGGGTGGTTCTGGGAGTGTGGCCTTCCCTCACCCTGCTGGGGGTCATAGTCCAGTGGAAGGTGACGGCTGAGGGATACTCCCACACCAAGGGTACGTGGATGTCTGATCTCTGGGTCTTCTTTAATCACTCATAACTTCATCAACTGTTTACAAACTGAAAAAAAAGCACTTCTCTTAATCTAGAAATTAATTATTAATTACTCGTGAGAAATGCATACTGGGAAAGTTTCAATAGGCTAAATAACTTAAAATTATCATTTAAAAAGATACGTTTTTATCAGTAGTTGTTTTCACATCCCAGCTGGATAAAAAACGATTCAGACACGTTGGTTGTGTGTGTGTTAGACATTCTGATTCTAATAACCCCAACCTTAATGAATATGAATGAAGTTTTGAGTACTAAGCTACCTGGGATAGGTGTGCTCTTGTATCTGATCAGAGACATTCAGCGTTTTTGGAAACCGGCCTGTTGATTTGTGGGTCATTTCTTCAGTGATCATCAGCCGGCAGCAGAGGAGGATGCAAGTGATGCGGATTCGTCAGCGGGACGACCGCTATCGCAACAAAAAGAAGAAGAAGCAGCAGCATGGCTCCGCCCACCACCAGGCCAAGCAGCTCCACGCTGAGCCCGCCTACCGGCGTAAACCCAACCCGATCCGCCGCTACGACACCGACGTCCTGTCGCCGGTAAGAAGCATCAGTGACACGATGATCAGGCTCTGATTTTGCGGGTCATGTAGGTCATGTGATTAAAGGTGTGCATGTTTAGATTACCTGTTTGGTTTTTGCAGAGTTACATCCAGAGTTTCCGGGAGCGGCAGGTCCAGGCGCAGCCATTTCCTGGCCGTCTGGTTGGAGGCTCTCACGCTGTTGTGGAGATGGGCTACGACTGCAGCTCCACGACTCCTCTCACTGCAGCAAGTGGACCTCCTCTACGGGCCTGACCCCTCCTCCACCTCCCAGATGCTTGACCAGGGAGGCACCACACTCTGCAATCACTACCCCACCTGTGGGTCATCACACCCGTGCTACAGCTAGCTACCACTGGGTTGATGAGCAAAGCCTCCAGGTTCAGTCTCCTCTGACAGGAAGAAAAGAACATTTCAGGCTGGATTTTTCTTTCCAAATGCCCGGAAACCTTCTCCAGACCTCACATTTTTCTCTTTCAGATGTATCGATCCATGCACACACTAATGGATCAGCCTACCCTGATACATCTGTGTCCCTCTTAAACCACGCAGATCATTGTTCCACTACAGAACAACTCAGGTTCTAACAGAAGAATCTAAACAGTTCTTGTGCTGTTTGACAGAACCAACCAGCTCCTCAGCCTGCACCCGCACAGGAACCCTTATCTGGGGTCCCATTTGTTTTCTGTGCCATCTGAAAAACAACACTTTTAAAACAATGCGAAATCTGTATTGTCATTTGTATTTTTATTGTTTTTAGAGGGGGAAACCTTGTGGTGCTGGACGATTCTCTCCCTTAAGGGTCAAACTGCTCAAAGAAGGGAGGATGTCTAAAGGGGTGCTGTGTCTGAACACCAACAGTCGGGATCTCCGGTGGCCAGTTGATTTCACTCAGGGGCGTGTCCAGGGAGTGGCCTGGGGTAGCACATGCCACCCTTGGAATCTGATTGGCCACCCCAGGTGTCACCACACTAATTTACCTTCAAAAAGGCTTTTCACTGTCCACAAAAGGCTTGGGGGTGAAACAAAAAAAAGCATAATCATTGGTGCCACCCATGCACAAAGTTGTGCCTCACCTGGGCCACCCCAGTTTAAAGGATCTGGACACGCCACTGATTTCACTGATGCCAGATTACACCGGCACCTCTTAGAAAATGTCTCCTAAACGATTAAAACACTAATAATTCATCAGAGCGGATGTTTGGTTACCAGCTGTTTCTGCTTTAAGACTTAAAACTAGTAGTAGAATACAACTTTAACACTTCCAGTCACTTTGGGCAAATCTTCAAATCTTGAAAATCACATCATATGTGATGGTTTGAGATTTTTCACTGATCTTGTTTGTGTTTTTAAACACTCACAGCCCACATTTTAGCCATCCATACGTTTTCAGCCGCTTATCCGGGGGCTGGTTGTGGGGGCAGCAGTGTAAGCAGGGAGGCCAAGGCACTTGGGCCAGCTCCTCCAAGGGAATCGTAAGGCGTTCCCTGGCCAGCCAAGAGACATAGTCCCTCCGGCATGTCCCGGGTCTTCCTTTAGGTCTCCTCCCAGTTGGATGTACCTCCCAAAAAAAAATATTTTAGCTTAAAATCAAACTATGTCATATTAATAATGTTTTTTTATTTCCTTTAACGTTTCTTTTAAGTCTCGGTCATTTTTGTTAAAAACTAATATTCCAGCTCATATTTCCTCACAGTGAGCATAAATAAATAAATCCAGATTTATTAAAAACCGGAGTAAGCTGCCTTAAAGGAGTGCCTGAATAGAGAAACCGAGACAGTAAACGGCTGAAGGAGGCATCAATTGTAGACCTAAACGGTATTCCCTGTGATGTTTTGTTCTCCTTTAACTCATCTGAGGTGCCCGTGTACATCAGTCTCGTATTAGACCTGGACTCAGACCCGACTGCTTTCATTGGTTCTCTTTATTCTGGACAACATGACGTCCCACATTAGAAATGTGAATACTTTGTTACTGTCTTTATATTTTTAAGGGAAAACAGACCAACGTACGGGGAGCAGGACGGGTTTGTAGGAAACTAATCTGCATGATCGTTGCATCCTGATCCACTGCAACACCTCGTCTGCATCAATGTGAATTTTGTACATAAGAGACAGCACTTACCTGTTTTTTTTTTTTATTTCCGCATTTTTTCTTTTATGACTAATTTAATACAAGACATGCTGTAACACAATGATTTGTATTTATTTGCTGATTTTATTTATTTTTGTTCGGATTTCAGTGTCATCTCCGTAGGCCGGTGACGTGCTTTTTTAAAAACTGAATTATGATTATTAAAGCATGTGATTTAACGGGCCTATACACAAACACTGTAAGTGTCATCTTTTAAAAAAAAAAAACACAATATACTTTTAAAAAAACTGATGAATCAAATGATCATAAGGTTTCTCTGTCCTGCCAGCGATCCTTTCTCCCTTTATTCACCTCAAACAGCACCAGAACTCTCAAAGCAGCAGTTCTATAATAATCATCAGGGTCTCTGTCTCCAACACGAAATAGAAATGAGGAAGTGTAATTTTAAAATGCTGGATTGTTGCTCTTGGGAGAGATTTTGTAATATTCTATCCATCCATCTTCTGAACCCGCTTAGTCCACATAGGGTCGCGGGGGGGGGCTGGCGCCTATCTCCAGCAGTCAACGGGCAATCAGGCGGGTACACCCTGGACAGAGAGCCAGTCCATCGCAGGGCAACACAGAGACACACAGGATAAACAATCACACACACACTCACACACCTAAGGACAATTTGGACAGACCAGTTAACCTAACAGTCATGTTTTTGGACTGTGGGAGGAAGCCGGAGAACCCGGAGAGAACCCACGCATGCACAGGGAGAACATGCAGACTCCACGCAGAAAGATCCCAGGCTGGGAAGCGAACCCAGGACCTTCTTGCTGCAAGGCAACAGCTCTAACCACTGCGCCACTGCGCAGCCCATAATATTCTAATATGTTGCAAAATTTTGCAAGACCAAATTCTGCTAATAAAATGTTACAATGCAAGAAATATGAGAATTTTGAGAGGATTTAGAGGATTTGGATAAACGGTAAATAAGTTTAGACATTTTGACTAAATTGCAAAAAGAAAATTTGCACGACCGCTGCAGCACGTTCACAGTTACATCACACGTCTCACGAAAACCAATCAGATATACAGGGGCTGATCCTAATATCATGCAAAGTTGATTTATTTCAGTAATTCCATTCAAAAAGTTAAACTTCTATATTAGATTCAGTCATTACACACGCACTGATTTATTTCAAATGTTTATTTCTTTAATGTTGATGATTATAACTGACTAATGAAAATCCCAGATTCTGTATATCAGAAAATTAGAATATCAATTAAGATCAACGTCCAACTGAAAAGTGTGGATATGAAAAGTATGAGCATGTACAGCACTCCATATTCAGCTGGAGTTCCTTTAGCCTGGATCACTGCAGCAATGTGGCATGACATGGAGTCCATCAGGCACTACTCAGGTTTTATGAGAGCTCATGTTGCTCAGATAGTGGTCTTCAGCTCTTTTGAATTGTTGGGTCTGGCATTTTGCATCTTCTTCACAATAGCCCATAGATTTTCTACGAGGTTAAGGTCAGACGAGTTTGCTGGCCAATCAAAAACAGGGATACCATGCACTTAAACCAGTAACTGGTAGCTTTGGCTCTGTGTGCAGGTGCCAAGTCCTGTTGGAAAATGAAATCTCCATCTCCATAAAGTTGGTCAGCAACAGGAAGCATGAATGCTCTACAACTTCCTGATAGATGGCTGTGTTGACCTTGGACCTCAGAAAATACAACGGACCAACACCAGCATGACACAGCACCCCGAACCATCACCGACTGTGGAAGCTTCACACTAAACCTGAAGCAACATGGAATCTGTGCCTCTCCTCTCTTCCTCCAGACTCTGGGACCTTGGTTTCCAAAGGCAATGCAAAATGAACTTATAGGAGAGACGCTTCTGATGCTGTCTCTTGTTCTAGAGTGGCTTGACACAAGCAACGTGACAGCTAAAACCGTGTCTTGCACACATCTGTGTGTGGTGGTTCTTGAAGCACTGACTCTAGCTGCAGTCCACTCTTTCTTGATGTCCCCCTCATTTCTGTATGGGTTTAGTTTTTCTCCAAGATGTGGTTATCACTAATGCTGTTACACTTTTTTTTACCACATCTTGTCCATCCCTTCACTTCTCTAACAATGTGCTTGGATGTAGAGCTCTGAACAGCCAGCCGCTTTAGCAATAACTTTTTGGGTCTTGTCCATTTGTTGCATTGGTCTTAATTGATATTCTAATATTTTCATTAGTTTTCAGTTATATTGATCAGAATTAAAAGAAACATTTGAAATATATCAGTTTGTGTGTAATGAATGAATCTACTGTACAAGTTTTTGAATGGAATTACTGAAAAAAATCAACGTTGTCATGATATTCTAATTTTATGACCAACGCCTGATGATTGAGTCCCAAAAATGTCCAAATCAGTTTCATTTCTATGGAAAATTTGCATTTTTCTTATAACCAGTCACCACCAGTCACAGCCCAGTTTCAGACTGGTTTTAGTGCTAATTATTTTGCCCACCACGTTCCTTCTCTTTCACCCTACTTTCATTTCTCTGTCTAACTTTTGACCAAGCATCCTCTCCACTCTGAACCCTGAAACAGAAACACGGTCACATCAAGGAACTTTTAACAGAATGACCCAATAATAATGAATTTATGGGTGCAGAAGAACTTTTATCATGTAAATCCTTTTAGCTTCATCTGGAAAAATGAACCAGTAACAAATAGCATTTAAGAAACTGTCCAATCAAACTGATTCAGGTGGAGATTATCAAGGTCTGTTTTAGATCGCTTTTATTTTGTTTTCTGTCCAGCCGAGATGGAGACCCACGGGATCATTTTTCTCTTCTCGTCACATGTTGTCTTGCTGGTGTTTCATTGACTCGCTGACGACCTGGAGACAAAAACACAAGAGCGTGCCATTTTTGACCGAGGAATGTAAAACTCCCAGCATGTTGGAGATCTCTGTTTTCCCAGGTTTTGACTTTTGTCAGAACAAGGGAGGACTAGATGAAGAGTTTTTAGGGCAGAATTAACTGAAAATCAGCACCGACCTTCAGTTTGATCAATACAGACCGTTAGCTTAAATGGGACAGATTAAACTGATCAATAGGTGAGAGGTCAGCTAGTTAATCAAAGGTTAAATCACTTTTAAGTCCCATTAGTTACACACTGGTGAAATATATCTCCACGTTTGACCCATCCTGGCGGGGAGAGGTGAGATGCAGCTGTGGTTGCACTCGGGAATTATTTGGTGGTTTGAATCCCCGATCCAACCCCTTACAGCTGAGTGTCAGGCGGGGAAGCGCTGGGTCCTATTTTTAAAGTCTTTGCTATGACCCGACCGGGATTTGAACCTCAATCTCCCTGTCCCGGGGGGACAATGCACCACTAGGCCATTGAGAAGGTGTAAACAACCCAGCTTTACATTTTCAGTAGTGAAATACATTTCATGATTAGGTTTTTGGACTTAATCTTTGGTAAAAAGCAGATCCAGATTTTTACGGCTGTAGCGCTACGGCCGTAACACAGATGTTGTTGGAGTCTAGTTTACCTCTCCATCCCGGGTCTCGATGGTCTTGATGAGGACGCTTTTCTTTGAGTGCATCTCAGAAGAACGCTGCTGGTGTTCAGGACTTGTTTCTGATCCAACACAACCAGATTATGTGATTTTAGACAGTGAAGCTTGAAATCTACATGCAAAACTTAGATTTAGACATTTTGAAGATCCATTTCTACTAAAATCTATAATGTGCTTGGTGTTCTCTAATGGTGCATTCAGGGAATAGTTAGAGAATCTGTACCTCTGAAGCTCAGGGTGGAGTAGTTTTGCATCGGCAGGGTGATCCTGCAAAGACTCACAGCGGTCAGTGAAATCCTTCTGAGCAAAATCTGGTTCTGGTTCATCTTTGTCCTAATGGTACCT